TACATGTATTTGGTCTGTGATGCATACAAAAACCAACACTTTATCACATTTTATTTAGTAAGATGATTGCATTATTTGTTCATGTAACTTCTATTGCATTGCATACCTATACTTTTTATAAGGAACTGCTTTCTGTATTTCACATACACCTTCCCTGAAAAAATCATGTCAAGTTTTTGTCTGTATAAGCATTGTATTGCAGCAAACACCTGGGACTTTGTATAGGGAAAAGACTAAGGGTAAACATCATTTTTTTAAAATGGGGTAATGTGATTAAGGAGTCCAAGGTGCAGTGCAAGTTGTGTGGTATTGTGTATGTGTATTCATAGTATCTTAGATGAAACAGAAACTGATTTTAAAATTCAGACATTGTGCAATTTGGCATCATGTCAATCAAATCTACATTCATGCATCTTCCGCACCTGTATATTTTTATTCTTTTTGTTTACAAATGTATTTAATCTTGTGCTGCACATAATGTGTCACTATATTCCCACATCAATCTAAGAGAATAATGCTATTTTCCATGTATCTCCCTTGCTTTTCTCTGGGCAAGAATGTGTTGGAGCATGGTGTTGCTGACGTTAAATCATAGTGCATTCTCTTTTTTGTATTCATTGAATTGATTTCTTCTGTACATCCTGGAAATCAAGATGTTATTTTGACAAGTTGCTGGTATAGCAAAATAAACCTTTTACAATTATGTTCATAATTGTAGTATATGTGTGTGTGTATGTGTGCAGGAAGAACCACAAGATCAGGATGCTGCAAATGGAAAGACTGCACGATGGACATTTCTTTCTGTCTCCCAAATTAGTGCTCTGTCAGAAGAAAATATTGAAGGAGTTCAAAAGTAAGTGACAATGATAACAGCATTAAAACTAGAATTGATTAGAACTAATTAGAAATGAGTGAAATAAAAACTGTAGAGCATTTTTAGATTTTGCTTCTGATGTTGGTCCTTAATTGATTGTCAGTTGTATCACTCAGGATTTTTAAAAATGCTGTGAAAGATAGGATTCTTGAATAAAAATAGAGAATAAATGTAAAGAACCATTATCTCAGGATCTTGCTAATACATTTAGTGTTTGTATAAATCTTTACTGTAATAATATGTCAGAATAAAAAAATCAGAAAGGCTTTAAAATTTCAGAGACCTTTAAGAACATATGAGTAGGTAGCCATTATGGTGCACTGAGGGAAAAAGGAGGCAGCCAAAGATTAGTGAGGTAAGTCCATGATGTCTTTCCTTTAGCAACACTGTCTTATTATTGTAAGTAACAGTAGTAATATCTAAATTTAAGAGGCCAGAAATACCACCCAAGTCATTTAAACTGAAAACCCTAGACTTGAATTCTAAGAATGGTATGTTCAGAAGTCCTAATATAATTTAGCAGCACTTGTCTCCAGTAGGAAATTCTGGTCTTCTTAATTACTTTGGGAAAAATAACCAAAACACACATATGGCCATTCTGGATAAATGAAAAATTTAATAGAAAATAAAATTCATGAAAAATATTTTATTCTTCCTATTTATATTTGTTCTGAGAAAAAGTTATTTGCCTGATGGGATGATTATATTTTTTTTAAACTGGAAAGGGAGTTTCCCCCCATTAGATAAGAATAAGGTGAAATATCTTTTTTGCTTACTCTTTTCCCTTCCATGATAGGCCTCCCATTTTAATGCAGACAGAAGCATAGAACTCACTGGCTTCTAAAATCTGTTGAGTGGCAAAATTGCTTGTTAAATTTTCTCATTTATATTAAAAAGGAAAAAAATGGAAGATCATATGTTTTTTCTTAATCTCAGTGGATCACATATATAGTTGTATATTTGTGTGTGTCCGTATACACACAAAAACCATGCAAATGGATCTTAAAGTATATGCTACGTCTAACTGAAAGGAGGATGTTTGCAAGGTATTTCTTGCACTATAAGCATTTTAGATCCATGAAATTTTTTTAGTTCACCACAGTGCATCATTTTTATACACAAGAGGAGTTTGAAGGCTGCAGAAAGGGATATAAAACCAGAATAAAAAATCTAATAGAGTAAGGGAATTTTAATGTCCTGTGTTCCAATATGTCCTGGAGCTTTATACTGCTCTTCATCTCCATAGCACTTGAGCACCTTTCATGACGGAGAAAATAGCAATCCAAGTGATGGGGAAGTCTGAAGCACCCATCATTTCCCAATCATTTATAGATCCAGTTGTCAGTGGTACGTCTTACCAAATATTGAAAAGATCAGTATTGGCATTGTTAGCAGCACCAGAAAAATGTAAATCCCTTAGATTATGAAAACAGAGTTGGCAGAAGCCTCAGAAAGAGAGGATATGGACTATTTCAAACCGTGGCAAGTTCAGCTGGCCACATTCCACCTCTGTTTCAGTGCAGAGTTAAGTGTTTTGCATTGTACAGCTGTGCAAATTTGTCAGAACAAAGGAATACATGTTTTAAACAAAACTGATTAGATTATTCTTTTTACTTTGTTAGCTATTGAGCCTTTAATTTAAAAAGAAAAAACTTATTTAACAATAAATTTCTATTGGTTTGGGGAAAATCCTGAAAAACTGACAGTTGCCGATAAGTGGATTTGAGATAAATACTTTTTATTAGGAAGGAATAAGAAGCAGGGGGGAGAAAAAAATAAGTTTAGCTCTTTCTTAGGTAAGGAGAAACTGTAACCACAACTGGAACCTGTATCATCAGGTTAGTTAAGAAGCCAGGGACTGGTTTAATGCAAAATTCAGCTACATGAGACCCAGCTGAAGTTACATTGCAAGAACTGCAAGCTTAAGCACTAGACCTGTTCCTCTGTAATCTTATGCAGAAAAGATTATGTAATAATAAAAGTGATTATTAGTGCTGTGTTTGGTCAGAGTATAGGTAAATATGCTGGCAACAGCATGATCCCCCTAAAGGGAATGTATTTTTCTCACTACCTTTTAAATTTACTGAAGAATTTCAAAAGTGTGCCAATAAGAAAAGATGAAACTCTTTTTGAAAAGTCTAAATTATGAAAGTGGAATTTAAACATCTTACTTTAGCTATTTAAATAATTTTATACTGTATTATTTGCATGATTTTTCAAATATAAGTTCTTCAGAATGTACATTTTTCTTTGAATTTTTTATTTCATGTTTGTTAATTCCTTGGTCGCATTTTAACACTTAAATAACACCCTTTGAAGAGTTACAGGGGTCTATTTATTTCTTCCAGTTGGCAGATTGTCCTCTGATCATGAACTCTTGTATCCAGAAAATGTTGCAGATATGATTATAAATATAACTGCAAGGAGGCTAAGTTCCCCTTTGGAATCTATAACTGTGTTTTTAATTTCAGTATTTTGTTATCTGCTATTTCTTGTTAGAAAGCTGGAAGAATTCCTGAATTTTAAACAATTAAAAACATCGTTGAAGGAAGCTATTTTGCTAGATTATTATACCTCAGGATTTTGGTGGGCTAAAGAAATGAACTTCAGTCATGAACAACTCACAGGATTCATGGGTCTGTTAAATTTCCTTTTGGAGAACCTCAGTGGTAAGTATAATTGAAAATTATAAAATGAAAATATCTGAAGTAGAAGACAAGAGCGTCTTCCAGTCATTTTAGTGGAATGATTTTTAATTACAAGTAATTGTAAAATGGTTTATTTATTCCTCTTGAAGGTTGGCACACCATAACTTGTACCTGATAATAATTCTTCTTGACTAACATAAAGCTTTAATTAGAAGGGAACATAGTCTGTTTAGCAGAATTTTCCTTGTTCTTTGTACAGTACATGGTGCGAGAGGACCAGGCTCTGAATAGACTTTATCGAGGCTATGATAAAATAAATAATAATTGCAGTAGAGTGAGAGCAGGGAACTCTTAAACTCCAAATCCAGCGCATTCACTGACTGGTTCACTCTAGCCTCAGGCACATTTCTCTGCTGTTTAAGATATTCAGTACATCCTGTAGCATTACAGCAGGTGAATTACATTTATTTTATCCTTGGAGGTGAACTCTTGGGCAGCTTTATGCCAAATGCTGCACTCCTGGCACAAAATATATAGGTTAACTAAAGACTGGTGATGGAAGTAAACTGGCATTACTGCCAAAGATGAAAAACAACAATAAAAGGGCTGTAGCTCTTGTGCTTCCGAAAATATTTGCTGCAAAGTATATATCTTTGATCTACTGGGAACAAAATAGCCATAAAAATTGTAGGAGCATCCTCTCAAAAGCCCTTTTCAGAGATCACAATGCTTGCTTAACATTCACTTTGAAGGTGAGTACGTCGACAAAAGGCCATCCCAGAGGAAGAGTGAGAGGACTCAGTGGTTCCATTCAAAGGGGAAGATGAATATTTAAAATCAAACTCATAATAGAGGTTATATTCTTTCATTGCAATTTAATTCAAGGGCTTTTTGACTTGGAATTTTGACAGACCGTGTACGTGCTTTATGATCATTGGAATTCCAGTTGTCCTTCCTGTCTCCGGTGAAAAGTATCTTAGCATATGCTAGTTGTGTTAGTGCAGCAATGGAGGAGAATGGAAACATGTCAGACATCAGTTTTATTAGACTACGTGTAATGCTTGTGTACCAGACAGGATGGTAGCACAACTGATTATTAAAGCTAACTGGTGTTTTTCAGGAACGTGATCTTAGTGGCATAAAGCTTTGCCAAACTTTAACTCTTTAAGCAAAATTTTCCATGGCAGGGCCTGCCCCTGCTTAATTTTAACATATAAGTTTAAACTAAAACAGTGAAATGGGCTTCCAGCCAGAAGCAATGTGAAAAAATACATATTATTTTGTGCATGTAAAATGATCCTGGCATGGAGTTCTAATACCCCTATGCTTTGAAGTAAAGCAAGGACTGTGAATTTACTTTTTGCTGTCCTGTGAAAATCCATTTAGATTTGGCTAGGATACATGACTTTTGTAGAAAGAAAATGCAGCTTGTAAATGCTTACAGGAGACTTCTTAGATTTGTTCACAGCCACATTTCCCAAATAATCCATCTTATAAGGCATGCTATACCCTGGGGCTGAGATGAATTTCCTTGTAATTACGTTCTCAGCTCATGTAAGCTGCAAGACCAAACACTGAAAGTAACAGCAAAAAGCTAATATCTTCAGTAATTTTAATGACAGTTTCCTTCCCCTTCCCTGCACTGGACCCAAGCAACCTGGAAAAGTTAGCTGATTTGAACATAACAGTCATAACAGCATGGAACGGGAAGAATGAATTTAGACAAGGAGGGAAGTGGAAGCTCATTTGAGACTGCTGAGGAGAGAGGAAAACTGAGATTTAGGAAGTTAGAGGTTGTGGTTGATCGGCTGAAGAGAAACAGATGGAAACTGAAGAATCATTGCTGCCTGGATGAGGATTTCTAGGGAAGAAAATGGAACAGGATGAGAATAACTGGTAATGGTACAGGAACAGGATAACAGCTAAGGAGCCAGGGTGAATTATTTCTGTGATTTGGTTTACTTCTCTACATTGAAGATAATGTGCTCCTGCCCTACCACACAGAAGTGCTATGACAGACATCCTGACAGGCGCATTTGGGACTGAAAATCTGTTGGGGACAACAAGGAGGAAATTTGGACCAGCGGGAGAAAGGAACTGGCACTGGGTTTTGTGGCTACTCATGGTCTTGTTCTCTGGCTTTAGTTCCCCACTAGATGTGATATTTCTGGTTCTATTTCTCATTTCCTATGGTTTCTATTTTCTCCATGTTCTCTCTATTTCCTACTTCTTCCGTTATGGTTATTTATATTGCATTGCCTCTGTTACTGGAAAAAAAAAAAAAGAAATTTTCAGGGTTTTGATTGCTGTGCTACTAAAGGACAAAACGATAAAGATCAGGATCTTGTACACTTTTTTTAATTTGTTTTCTGTACAAAGATCCAAGGAGCAGATCAGTAGAGAATTAAAGCAATAAGACAAGTAAGTCTATTTCACTGCTGGTAGGTATTTCCCCGTTTTCTACTCTATATTTTTGAGATTTAAAAAGAACAAGGAAATAGTGTTCTTAACTTTTTTCTAATTTCACCATAGCCATAGTGATAGCACACACTGAATACAAATCAGGAAGATGAAGCCTCTCTTTTTAAACAGAAGGTTCAACAAATGCTACTATATTTTTCCTCTTTGTCAAGCCAGTTTATGAAAACAATTTAAATTTTAGTTCCAAGCTGGTTTAGCATTTGGCTTTGATTTCCAGAGTGGAAATATAAAGTAATTAGCTTCTTCAGGCTTGCAAAAATCTCCCACTGTTCGATGATGCATGCAGAATATTAAGCATAATTCAGTTTAATTATGACCATAAGCACTTAAAAAATTACTGGTTACCCTTTTTAATATCTGTTCTGGTGTTACTGGTTGACGTTGCAAGGGACTAGGTCAGAAGGAAGGTCTTCTACAATTCATAAACATTTATTTTAAAGATAATCATACTATATACCTCAAAATTACCTGCTATTCTGCCTTTGATTATCTCTGTATAGGTAAAGAATCAATCAGGAGCATCATATACATCCATCATTGCAGTCCTTAGATTGTGAGACTCCATCAGTGATTTTGTGATGGAACAGGAACACACATTTTATTGATAACAATAATAACAAAAGGCAAAAATGTTTGGCTGCTATTTTTAAGTTTTTGCGTGACTCACAATGTAGCTTAAGGAAGTCTTATAACTTCTTTGTGCTAAGCAAAATCTGTCAGACTTATGCTTAGTTTTTGTTCTTCTGGATTACTTTGCAGACAAACATATGACATTAGGCGATAACATAAAAGAACTTGGAAGAACAATGGCCGGGATAGGAGGAACCCGTTCAGAAGAAAGTGGTGACTTGTTTTTCTTCAATGTTGAGCAAGCCAAAGCAATCATTGATTACTTGAAAATCAGGTATTACCTCAGGGTCAATTACTTCTTATTCTAATTATTTTGTACTGTAGGAAGTATTATATAGTGAGTTAAAATGATTTAGTTGAATATGTTCATACTGTACCAAAACAAAATGATTGCATTTCAAAGACAGCAGAAATGCAGCACCTATTTGAAGAAGTCTCTTGAGACAGGTCTCAGACGCAAGAAGAGATGCAAATAGCATTAATTAAATTACTTAGTAAAAATGGTAGTTGGATAGCAGCCTATCATGTATCTCTGTATAAAGTCTCGACAATCCAGTGGAATATACAGACTTCTCTCCACTGACACATCATAATTATAACAGTGACTGTACACTGTTTCCACTTGGGTATGCCAGGGGCAAGAAGAGATGGGAAATGGAAGAGATACTTTGCTAATGTATGCTTATGTGCTATGCTAGATGTGTACCATTCAGCCCCTTTCCTGACCTGAATACTAGTGCTAGAGGGAGAGTGTGACAGAGAGGCATAAAGAATGAGTTAGGTGATTATGTCATTATTGATCCATATGTAGAATGGTTGGGAGTTTTCTGACTATTCTTTTGCTAGGAGTAGTTTAACACATCAAAAAGTATTTGAGAGTGTTTGCTTGGATGCAGAAACGTGTTACTTCTTAAAGACAGACAAATATTACAGTGGCCAGTTGCATCCTGGTTTAGGATACTTGCAGTTTTGAACTGAGTGTTTAACCCATGCTAGGTGGTGGTTTCTCTGGGCTATAAAATGTGTGTGTCTGTTTTTCCCTGTTCTCTCTTTCTCTCTCTCTCTATTTTTTTTTTTAAATCTTTTTAGTGGAAAATAAAATGAAATGAGAACATCTCTCCAAACCTCAGATGTCTGTACAAGGCAAACCAAAGTTCTGCCTGATACCACCCCTAAACTTAAAGGAAACTTGGCTTTAAGATGTCTCACTCTGCTTTAACTTTTCCTTTCCCTGTCTGTGACTATTATATATGTATATGAAACAAATCGTCCTTCCAAATAGGATCTCTGTGATTCTTATGTAAAGTATGTATTGTTAAGGATCTCGTGTATGAATTAAGGCCTTCCCAGTGGTAAGGATTTGATCAAAGAGATTAGGTGCTCTGCCCTGCTACCACTGAAGTATTAACTCAATGGGAATATAATCAGGGTACAGGACTCTATCAGCAGATATTATCCTGGCTATGTGTAATTTTATGTTCAGATTCTGCTCAACTTGTAACAAGTGCATGCTGTTACAAGTTCATGAATATTTAAACATACACTGGAGTTTATCATATATATTGAGTTTATACAATCCCTATTTCAGTCATATAATTTTTTTATAAATAAAGAACTGAATCAGCACAGTTTTTGTGTCTATTTTGAACGTTATGAACTCAGAAATAGGTGAGTGCATTTTATTTCAATACAAATTATATTGTATTTAATACAATACAATACATTGCTTCAATATTTGTTCTAATTCTCCACTTTTTAAAATTTTAAATGATAGACCTCTAGCTTTTTCTTTCCCTGTTCAAGCTAGTGTGACATGCTTCAGATCACATTTTTACAGGTGAGTGATAAACCTGTGGGATTTATAATGGAAATGGGGACAAACGCTTAACGTTGGGACAAACTGTGCAGCAACTGTAATGATGCCTTCAGATTTGGTGAAAGGTGACAGTTATCATCTTTTTATCTTGTCTCCTTGGGCAAACACACATCAACATATCTCTTGACATTTTCTCTCAGGAAGCACTGGAGCTAAGGAGATATGTCAATGTTAATCATCTTCAGATTCTCATATGACATCATAAGATGCCCTGTTCTTAAAAATCTTACTTGCATAAGTACAATTACTTTTGTGCAATTGCTAAAAATATTGACACAGAATCTGTTAATTGTTCCTAACAGATATGAACAAGAAGATCAAAAAGCACATTGTATAAACCTTATAGAAGAAAGAAAAATATGCTTTTGTTTCAAACTACATACTAAGATCGTGTAATTTATGTGATTTGATTAACTGGAGGAATTCCTTCCTTAATATTCAGTGTATTATTTAAGTGTGTCAGGTCAAACAGACTTCTGTTAACAGACGTGTTCAGAACTGCCATAAATAATGATTTGTGTTTGTGAAAACAGTATTTGTGCATCTAACATAGTCTGTAAAGTACATAAAGAACATGTTTTAAGGTTCTAAGGGAAGAAGAGATTTTCTGGTGCTGTCAAATCTAACATAGTACATAAAGAACATGTTTTGAGGTTCTAAGGGGAAGAAGAGATTTTCTGGTGCTGTCAGTCTGACTTCTTTCCAAAGCACAGGAATAAAAGAAAAAAGTTCAAAATGTTAACTTCTATCAAAACGATTTGAAAGATATATATCATTGTTCGTAGGACTGTGATAATAAAATATTTTTTGTCTTTTCAAATAATCGCTGTTACAGTATTACCAGGAAATAGGCAAGTGTGTGCAGAGAGTCATGTATTTTCTTAAATTGGTCTGAGTCATTTTCAGATAAATTTTGAGGTCTGTGTAAACATAGTTCCTACCTCTCCACCGAAACATGGAAGAATCCTTTGGTCATGTGCCCGTATAAAAATCTACAGCAAAAGAAGTGGCAAATAATGTGACTTAAATTCATTGCCTGTGTGATTGAGTTTGGGGTAAGGGAACTTGTTATCAGTGATAGTCAAATTTCTTAGGCAAGTTAGTAATCAGATTTGTTTTTTAATAAACGATAATTTAAACAATAATTATTTAAAACATGTGAAAGAGAAAGAAAGACATATTTTAAGAAGATAGGTATTTTAGGCAGTTGATAAAGTTTTTTTTGTTGTAATATGCAAAACTTGATGTTGTGTTCTCATTTTATGTAGTCTGTCAGTCTGAATTTCTGCCAATCTACTGTGCTTATAATTGCTGAAGAAAGCTGACCTCAAGCAGGGGGTTCCTTTTTTCATTCCCCCCCCTCTCCTCTTTTTTTTTTTTTTTAAGAAAAGCACCTCTTTTCCTCCACCTAACAGTCTCCTTTTCCCCTTGCATTTATGTAATTTTAAAATAAGCACCAGAAAAATCTGTATTTAAGAAAATAATGTGCTGGTTCTGAAACTGATTTTGAGAGGGAAAAGAGCAAACAAACAAACTTCTATTCTTTGCTTTCTTGTTCCAAGGTAGACTTGCTTAGTAGACTAGTAGCCCATCCTAGAATCTGAAAGCTGCATTGCAATTTGTTTCCTCCTTGTCTAATGTTACCAGTATTAAAGCCTTAAGTATCCTGGTGTAAGTGCTTCAGGAATAACTTTTTTCAGAGTAGGACTTTTAGCCTCCTCAGAATTCAATTTCAGTAATTGAGTGTGCGTATTTTGAAGTGTAATGTGGTATGTGTAGCTATCTAGCAATAAATCCTGTAAATTAATATTAGGCAAATTGTAGCTGCAGTTAAAACAAGCATTTCTTCTTAACATTTGGAATGCCACCCTGCTGGAGAATTAGTTAAGTTTTGTTTTGCTGCGGTACTAATACATTTTTCTCTTGTTTTGCAGCTTATTTCAACCCTATAAACTGTATGAATATCTTTTCCATACTCCTAGAGAAGAATGTGTGATAAGTAAGGAGGTAAGTTTTCTGTATAGATGGGACTCATGGTTGCAGAGTTATCTAATGAATGCACTGTGTTGTATGTTTTGTCTTGCTCAAAGCAACTTCGTGTCGACATTACTCCACTAATAACAGCATAAAATAGCAGATTAAAGAATACAAATTAATGTCCTCATATTTAAATTGAATTTTGGATTTCAAAGACGTATAAATGCATTCCTTGGTTAAGATGGTAGTTGTGTTAAATCAAGAATATCTCATGTATGTATTTTTAAGTTGGTGCATGTAATTTGAGTTAGCAATTCATGACTCTGAGTATGCTTCCAGGTCAATAATCAAAATCTGAAAGAGTTATGTATCAAGCCTAGGCCACAGTCCTAACATTTATGTAAGTATTTGTAGGTACGGGTTTTGTTTCCCCTGCAGCTACCAGCGTTTTATTATGCTGATTATTCAGAAACAAGTAAATAGAAATTCAGCAATTAGAAGACATTTGGTTAAAAACAGTTGTTTGGCTTGATTGTAAACCTTGCCAGGTATTCCAAGTAGTATGTGAAAAAAATAGGTAAGAAGATGCATTGTCTCAAGAAGTGATCTGTAATCAAATGAACAGATCCAGTTCAGCAAACCTCCCTTTGGACAGACTATGGTTACTGAGAATATATTTTACAATAAATCAAAAAAGAGTCACTTTTATAATGTATGCTAGGAAACAACTTGTTACTCTGAGAAGCACAGTCTTTTTTTTTTTTATAATGGCATTTTAGTTTTTCAGTGTACAGGGAAATTAGTACATTTGATTTTATGATCTACCCTTTAAACTGGGAGTTTATAAAGGATATGCTATAGTTTCTTCCTATGTGGCTTCTGAACAGCTGAATTAAACTTTGGAAATATATTTTTTGAAGAGGAGGCAAATATTTTGGAATTTATTCTTATCATTTGTAAGTTGAGGTAAAATTCCTGCTACATAGAATCAGTGACAAAGCTGTCATTACCTACACAGAGCAGGGCTTCAACCTTAGTATAGTGGTTTGTTTTCTTTCTGTATAAACTAATAATAACACTGGTTGGTTATCACTTCCTAATTGATGAAATTATTTTTATGAGGCCTTAGTTAAGTAATTTCTTATGCCAATCTGGGTAAACTGTTTTACCATTTTAGACCAGCTTAAAAGAAATGTCTTTGTGTTTTCTTAAACCCACTTCCTGGTGGCTAAGGTCTGTTCTGGGAAGCGAGCAGGAAGCAGTCAGTGTGCAACTCCACAGCTGCCCAGGCACCAGCAAATGTCTGCCCTCCCTGCCTGCCCCCTGCGTGTGCTGGCCGCGCGGGCCGGGAGGGGGATGCACGGCTGTGCATTGGCTGTGAAGATCCATCCAGGGAACAATTCACAAATTAGAGCCATCCCTAACACAGTCAGGACCATTTTTAAACATAACGCTCTTAAAGCCAATTACTGCCTAAGTGCCAGTTCAGTTTAATAAGTTCATTTTGTATTCTGAAGTCCCAAGGTAGATGCTCTTCAATTTGTGCAGTTATACTGCCATATCCAGTAAAATCAATGCTTATCTTTTATGTGGATTTATTTAGATGGGGTGATAAACTGTTCTTCAATAAGACTTTAGCTCACTGAGTGCTCCATGTATGGCGAAATAAATTTGTGTTCCGTGTGTGGTGAAATTACTACTTACCAAAGAAAAGTCCAATAGTTTAATGACAAGACCTGTTCCTTAAAATATATGCAGCTACAACTAATAAAAGTAGTACTTAGTGTTGTAATGGATATTCTTTTGGAGAAGCCACGGTATGTGTTTTCCAGAGAAAATTTAATGCAACGGGTTATAAACCTATTGAATTTTGCTTTTTCTCTAGTGCAGACATTTATACAGTGTTCTCAATCAGATTTTCTTTTTGATCTTTCACTGCAGTTACTTCTAAATGACCCTGTTGTTTCCTGTGTGAAATAAAATCAGACAAGAGAAGGGAAATGACTCAGAACCAAGCTAGATTATGCATACAATATCTGTGATCATGCCTGCTAACAAAATTTAAGTTACTTAAAAATGGCAGATAATTAGTGAACCATCACAGTCTGATCACTATTCTTAGTATGATACAGCTAGCATAATAGAACCAGCTTTGTAAAGTACAGATAATATTTAAGTATTAAAAGAACAGAAAGCAGAAAATGACTGGCTAATATAAATATATTTTAGCTTTAACTAAAGCCTTTAAATCAAACTGCCTGAGGTGTTCATATTGCCTAGGAAAAAAGGTTAAAACTGAAAGACATGACTGCTTGGTTAGATGATAAAACACACATCATACACCTAACCTGGTTTGGCAGTCTTTAAAATTTAAGACTTGCCTTTTCAGCTATCAAATCCCTTACTTCTCCTTCACTCCAGATCTGCAAAGACCTCTGTATTATATATGCAGGAGTACCTGTTAGAAAACCTGATGGTACAAGGAATTACAGAAAAGTGCTAAGATTGCTGAGCAAATGTTTTGCTTGCTTTCTGTTAGCATTATTGAGAGGTTCCTCACATTCAGAACCATTACAGAGGAAACAGCACTTCAGCTGTGCTGTGACCACGATCCAAAATAAAATGTAGGTACTGCTACCACACCGGGGTTCTCCAAGAACGCTGCTGTTGAAGCTGCTGTTTATTCCTTTTGTCAGTTCTGGAGATTTACTCTCTAGCTGTGATTTAGCACACCTGTGTTACCCTGCACATTCAAAGAAAGCAAATGGGAGTGCAGACTACATCTTGATATGCAGGGATTCAATAGACCAATTCCCATTAACCCATGTCAGGTCTTATAAAAAGGTTTAAACTGCTAATACATGATTTGTGTAGATGTTTTTATTATTTTCTGTTTCTATGTTCAGTTAATTTACTTTGCTTTGAGGGCATGATATATTACAATGCATCTTTTTTTTTTCCTCACATTTACAAATTGTGCCTTATACTGCAGTTCATGTTTTTGATGCCCTCTGTTGTGTATTTTTGGATGGAATCAGGCTAAAGTCTTCTGGGATTATGTCTGCTTTGAAACATTTCCTAATAAAAATAATGTGGTTGGTAAATCTAGTTTTATTCCTAGTTACTTTAGCCAGCCTGATGGAGTAATCTGCTATTTTATGGCCCAGAAGACTTGCTAAGTTTGACTTTTTGAAGTAGTCATATACAATGTAATTTTCTTTAGAGATGTCGTAGTGGGTCAGGTTGCAATAAAAATACTGAAGATTAAGTTTAATGGCAGTGCACATTCAATATTATAGCTGTTATTAGATATCATTCCCCGTTCTTAAGAGTTCCAGAATAGTTTCCATTAATGCCTTGTTTCCATGTGCTGCTTACTTTCTGAAACATTAAGCTTTTGGACTATGCCTGGTCTTTGTCCAAATGTGGCTTTTCTTTTTATTTATTTATTTTTCTTCAAGTTTGAACAAAATTCCTTCTGTGTTTGAATTTAAGGGGATGGATTGGAAGAATATACTAATAAACTAATAGAGTAATATACCTTTCTTCCAGTGGTAAAAGACCTGAAGTCTGGGACTTTACTTTGATATATGATCCCTATTAGGTGTTGCACAGCTTGATTGGTTAATCAAAATCATTTTTAAAGCAATTCAGTCAGTGATTTCTTGCGAACTGCATTCTGAAGGTGCAGGAAAGCAGAACATTTCTGTAAGCATATCAGTTCACGCTAGAGACTCCTTCCCCAGCTAATGGAGTGCATGCTTTTCAAAGCCGGATGGTTTCAAATATTTGTAATGCTTAAAAACCACTGAGTTGATTTTGTGTGGCTTTGTTTGCTAAATATCACCATGGCAAAGACATCAAGACTTAATTTGAAGGAAGTAAGAGCACAAAACTCATAGGCAAACATCTCTCATAATCCTCATCAGAAACTTGTCAAACACCAACTTAAAAGCAGTTAGCTTGCTTGTCTCTGCTGTTTCAGTTGAAAAGCCACCCTGGAGCCTGATTTCAGCAACAGCTAGAGAACTTTTTAATTTCCAGCCTAAATGTATTCATGACAAGCTTGTGTGCACATGTTCTTGTGCCAATTTGTGCCAGTGTTGACCTTTAGTTCCTTTTTCTATCCTGTGTGTTTACTTTTCCAGTGTACAGAGACGGCAATCTTACTGTCAGCCTTCATTTAGCTAAACTAACACTAAATTAAAAAAGCCAATCATCTTCAATATCCACTTTTAGGATAAGCTTTTCTTATGTACATTCTTTCTTACATATTATCTTCTACTCATTCTCTGGGCCTTTTGTTTCACTTTAAATTGATTTTCTTTGCTAATAAATGACCAAACTGCACCTAATACTGTTGCTGAGGTGAGAGGAGAGCCCTGCACGATGCCAAGACTGCTTTCTTTGTCTCTGCAGGGGATATTCGACATCAGGCATCTTAGAATCAGTCACACATCTCATAGCTGTATCATGTGGCTGTCTCCTAGCAGGCCTCCTATTCTGCTGCTGCTTTTAGGTTATTGTCTTTTCCAACTGATGTAGTCCCAGTACACAGCAGGCTTTTAAAATTTTGTTCCAACAATGTCACTTCACAATTTATATTATTGAATATGAGATTGAGTATTGTTCAAGATCATTCAGTCCCAAATATATGGCATACTATTCCTCTCATGGTTTGACTACATCTCTCATGTTGCCTAGAAAATTGGTTCCCATGTTAAATAAACTGCAAAAGTAGTCCCGGCATAGCATAACATTCATAAACCAGCGTTGCCTTGTACCCTATTTTTTCTTTATTTCCATATTCTTATCTATATTTTTCTTCAGAAAATGTTCTCAAGTCTTGCCTTCTATGGAGATCAAAACTACAGCTTTAGCCATAAATTCAGTATGTTACAATTATGAATGTTTAAAACTAGCAAACTAGTATTTGGGTCTTTGATGTCAGAGGGAAAATTCTTGATGTCTGTTACAGAAGTGCGTGGTGCCTAAGACTGGATTACTGAAGTAAGCAGTTGGAGAGCCAGCAGTTTTCAGTGGCAAAAATAACTGATATTCGGGCTTTTGATCTTGAAGTTTGATGCTGTAACTGGAGAATAGCTGACATGCGGAGCACCAGGGCTCTGACCCAACCAGTGTTTAAACAAGT